TTGAAATATCCTCTTCATCATTTATGTCCCTTGTTCTATTTTTCCAAATTCAGCACTGTACATCTTTGAGTTGAAGCATCCATTTTGCACAGCTTCCTTGTAGCATAAATAGTAACAATTCATGAGCTAACACACAAGTTTTGTTAGAGATGAACATCTTTCTATTTGTTTTTCTTTCATTTTTCAGAGATCTTTTCAATTTATCTCTATATTCTATTAAATTATCAACTTTATCTCTAATACATTTTAGATTTAATTCAGGTATTTCTATTCTACTTCTTTCACAATTCGTAATCATTACAACTCTACTATTATCAAATTCAAGAGCTTGAAATTTTATTTCTTCTTTTAAATCCCTGGTTTTTCTTAAACATTTTAATTTATAATTTAAATCAACCAAACTGAATATTATCAATATTTTACAAAACACGACTAATATTTTAACTGTATTAAAAAAATACTTTATCAAATCTTTATTTATTTCTCTATATTTATTTAATCCTAACAATTTCTTTTGTAATATATTTTTACTCGTTACTTTAGCACAATGCTGCTTTCTTGAAATAATTTCTTCTTTGCGGAAATATTTTTCTTCATAATTTTTATCAATTTCTTTTACTGGCGTAATTAATAATTTCTGAACTATTTTATCCTTTTCTTCCATGTTTACATTTTTAAAGTAAAGGCAGGATTTAACATCAGATTTATTCGAAATCTCTTCAAAATAGTGAACGACTACATGAGTTTGGACTAGCATTGACTTTTTCAATTTTCTATGATTTTCACCACAAAGTACATTTCCAATAGTGGTCTTTATTAAATAACACCCTTTTGAAATTTCAGTTTTTCCATTAAAAAATCTCCAAAAGTCTTTTATTCCTATCAACAAGTCTGGTTTTACACAATTATTAGTTAAATTATACTTTATTTCATTAATCTTTACATTAGATTTATTCCCATTTATACTAACAGATTGCAATTCATTGGAAATTTTATCAACACTTAATACCTCAATAATTTCTCTCTTTCTATCTATTCTTTCAATTCCAATTGAGTATTTTCCAGTTCGTTGTTTCTTGGACTTATTTCCTTGAAATGTAGATACTTCTAGAAATCCTTCACCTTGTTTTGTTAAATTTAATTTCTTAACTAATTCGTCAGTAATATAATTAACTTCACTTCCAGTATCCAGAAATATGGAAACACTAATTTTCTTATTTTCGTTCCTTGGTGAAAAAACTTTAGTTTTCAAAATCATTAAATTCGGTGACGAATTATTTAACAACGAAGTACATGTATTTACTGATAAATTCTGAGTTTCCAAAACTTTATTTTCAATTTCAGGTTTTTCAACATTTTTACATACAACTTTACAATCTGAGCTTTTCTTTTTCCAACTTTGGGATTTTCGATTTTTATAATTTATTTTAACTTTTTGAGGTCCATAGGTTGCAAAACATTTTGTCCTTTTATGACAAATGGCAGTATTATGAGGTCCTTTACAGAAGAAACAATATTTTTTACTGAAACATTTTCTCGATATATGACCTCTTGCACAACAACGAAAACATCTTCGCTGTTTAAATAAACGCTTCTTGCGTTCCTCCAAGCCTGCAACATTTTTACAAGTATTGGACCAATGATTTCCATTACAAAAATAACAAATAATATTTCTTCTATTTATAGTCACGGGAAAAGATCTAGTCTGATCTACTACTTTAATTTCTTCATTATCTTCATCATTATTAAATTCTTCATATTTTCGAATCTTTTCCCTTTGTAGATTTGACTGACTATTAAAATGTTTACTCGATTGGTAAACTGATTCTCTTATATTAACTATTCCAACTAGAGCTTTTCTTAATTCATTAGTATTCCATTTTTTACTTGAAGCTTTTTCTTCTTTAGCAATTTCCATTAAAATACTTTTATTAAGCTTTGACTTAATTAACGAAGTCATAATCGAATTATTTGTATTTTCTCCTAAACTTTCTAATTGTCGAAATATTTTTTCAATTTTATCGACTGTATTTTTCAACGAAATTGCTTTGTCTGTACAAACGGGCAATTGAAATAATTCAGACTCTAAAGCTTCAATCAGAATATTTTTATCGCCAAATCTTTCCTTTAATATTTTAACTGCAATTTCATAATTTTCGTTCGTTAACATTAAGTCTGAAATTGCATCTTTTGCTTCTCCTTTTAAACAATTAAGCAAAAATTTCATTTTATCTATTTTACTAAAATTCTGCTTATCAATTGAACATTCAAAACTTTGCCAAAAGGAAATCCAATGATGTGGATCTCCATGAAATTCAGGCAATTCAAGTCTAGGCAATTCAACATTTATTTCTCTTTGTTCAACCTGGTTTAACTGTGTTACTAACAAATTATCTTCAGAGATATCTGAAATTCTTTGAAGACTTATTTCGTCAAATGAATCAACAATTTCTCTACCTTTTTCAATCCATTCATAGAAATGTTTATTCTCAACTGTATAATTTTCATAAGCTTGAGTTTCTTTTATTCTATCATCAGGATTTAGAACTTTTAAGAAATCTAACCAAAGTTGGTTCTTTTCATCTAAAGTTTTTAAAATTTTCTGAATGCTTTTTCCGTCATTCATTAGTGATTCTTTTTCTTCATCATCTATTACATCTTTTACTATAATACTTTCTGCATTTTCAATTCTAACTCGCAAACGTTGTAAAACAGTTCCGATCATTCTTTTATATGGACCGGACATTTTCTATTTTCAATTTAAAATAGAAAGCCTGTTAGAAAGCCCTTCCCTGTTAGCGGCACCACTTGTTGAGAAATATACTTTCCCAACAATTATTTAAAGATAAAAAATTAATTTTAAAAGAATAAAAACTTTTATTTAAAACTAAAAATTTAAACTTTAAATTTATAAAACAAAGGAAGAACTTTTACAATTTAAGTATACAATTGACTTTACAATTTCTTTATTTAAAGAACAATTAAAACTAAAAGAAACTCTAAAAGTTTACAATTTTATTCAAACAATTACAAAGAAAACTTAAAAAAAAACTCTTAACTCTGAGAGAATCTAGAAAACTCTGAATAAAAATATTAAACTTTATTCAAATAAATAATTTTACAATTTAAACGTTACAAACAAAAACAAATTACACACGAACTTTTGAGAGAATCTTAGAAAACTCTTTACAAAAAACAATTTCTAGACTTGAGAATTACAAAGAACTCTGATTATACGCTAAATTCCTAACGTTTAAATAGAGGAAAAAGTGGGAGGGTTTTAACATAAAAATAAAAAAATATACAAAGTGCAATGAATAATAGAAAGAATGTGAAAGAAGTAGGCGTATTTCGATTACGCATGATTTAAAAATAAATTAAAATATAAAAAATATTTTCAACAAAAAGGACAAGGGACAAAAGGGTAAAAAATTATAATAAACAAGTCGCATTTCGCGACATTTAACGTGGCAAAAATTGAATTTAAAATTCAAATAAAATTATTTTTGCCCATGATTTTTTAATAAAACGATTACGTAAATGGTTAAGTTTGAAGTATTTTATTTTCTTTATTTAGCTGTAAAATTTAAGTAATAAAGAATATCGAAAATCCATTTGACGCATTTTTTATCCAACGTATAATCAAATTATTATAAAAAATTTTCTTATTAAAAATATTAACGTCGGCAAATAAAATTTTAAAATGATTATTGGTTTATCTAATTCGTTCGGGTGTTTTATAATGAGCCAAGGTTATACTACATATATTCTATTAAACTTTAAATTAAAGGAATTAGGCAACAAATTAGGCTTTCTATTATTTTTCAGTAAATCCCTCCGTCTTTAGACGAGTGATTCGTAATTTAGTTGCTAAGTGATGAACTTCATCCTTAAGCCTTTGAATAGAGTTTTTTTCCTACAAGTTAGTGCCAATTTTTCAAAAAATCCTGGAGCCCGTCTTCCAGAGCCCAATTTTATTATAATGCATGTTTTATAATATCATTTATATTTTTAAACAGGCTGAAGACAAAACAAGGCTTCTCCTTGAATAAACAAAGCTCGAGCATTCAAAATAAGATTTTACAAATAAAACTCATTCAATTATTTGAGCCTTTAATTCATGCAAAGTATTATGTTTTGGCTTTAGCATTAAAGCAGATAGTAATGAAAGAAAATAAAAAAGATGAGAAAGGTATTACTGAAAATCTAGAATCTATTCAATTAAATATTTCTGGGGAAGAAATGAACAAAATTAGTTCAGTCGAAAGTAATTTTGTTTTGATTGAAAATTCATTGAAAAAATTGTCTGGCGATTCTAATTTATTTGAGAAATGTAATGAAATGATTTTAGAAAAGCTGGGATATAACAAAAACGAATTTGTTTCACAACTTGTAGAGGAGATGAACAAAATCATGTGGGATTTGGATTTTAAATGTATGTTGAATTTATGATTCGAGATTTGGTTATTTATACATTCTCAATAAAAAGCTACTATTTAGCTAAAGGTACTTTATGGATATGTCACCCCCCCCCCTCCTATTTTGAGTCTCAGAGTTTTCCTTATGCGTAAAAAATGGTCAGAGATTATTTTCTTCTCCATGTCAATCATTTAATTTCTTCAAGCAAAATAAGTGAAATGTGGAAACGAAATGAGTGAAATTAATTCAAAAATTTGTGAAAAGGCAAAATAAAGAAACATGGAGAAGAAAATAATCTCTGACCATTTTCTACGCATAAGGAAAACTCTGAGACTCAAAATAGGAGGTGGGGGGTGCATATCCATAAAGTACCTAGCTAAATTTAGACGATGTAGACGGATCAACGTAAATATCATGTGACTAGTATGATCCTATTAGACATGCGATGAGAGGTACCTTTATAAAATATAAGCCGGGTGGCTATTACTAATTCAAATACACAGCAACTGCAATATTAATAAAGCTTGCCCCTCTCTGATTAGTATTTTTCGGCGATAATTACTAAAACATATAACTTAAAATATTCCTACGCCATTTGCCTCTTTGGTCAAGACTTTTGAAAGATTCTATTTATTGCATAGCGCCATCAGCTTTCGAGGGTTTTGTATGTGACCTGTTTATATTAACTGAAATTTTGATACCCCTAACCCTATTTAAGATGCAATAGCAGTAACTTTAGAAGGGTATGAATCTAGTTATTCTCATCCTATGACATCTAAAAGTTTTTACAATTTAACATGTTATACATTAATTTAATTTTACAGTGAGTGGTGATTCGAGCGATCAATTTATACCGAGTTACTTTGACTTTCGAGCCGTTCAAATTTCTGGAAATGGTGGTAAAGGGACGATAGCCGATCGCGTGATTGAAAAAATATTTGAATATGTTACAAGTCCATTTAATTGGATAGGAAAGAAGGCGGCTAACAGCAAAAATAGTGTATTTAAAAAAGTCTATGGTCAACTGAATTCAACGATTCAAGTCTTCCGTTCTTTTGTATTGAGAAAAACACCCATTGAAAATATGTTTGTTCAACTATATTATTATGAGAAAATACGCGGAAAAAAGTTGAAAGAGGAAATTTTAAAGTTAATTGGCAATTTTAAAAAGAATTTGTTCGTGAAAAAAACATGGAAGGAAATAAAAAGAGATTTTGGTGAATTAATGAAGGAAATTGAAATTTTAGTGAAGGTTCTTAAAATGAAAAATGGGAGCCCTAAAGAAATAGACAAAATGTTAAAACAGACGGTAGATGAAAAAGTGATTCCAAATGAAAGAGAGGATGGAATAAAAGGAAAAATTAATTCTGAAAAATTTTCCGAGGAAATCGGTAGAGAGCTACAAGACGTAATGAATTCATTTAAAAATACTGTTAATCAAAAAGAAACTGGTGATTGGTTAGATATTATAAACTGTATTCTTCCAAAATTGCAGGTAAATATTATAAAAATTATATTCGTATTAAAGTCTCAATTAACTGTTTAAGTCTCATTCTATGCTGAAATCAACAACATTGCTCCGTACTAAACGTTATTATTATTCTGGCCCTGTCGCTATGACATTGTTTAAAAAAATTTCTTTGCTTATTCTTTATTTGGGCTTTGGAGGTATTTTTGGCGTTTTTTTGTCATCAGTTCTAGTCTTAAATATCTTGTAGAGATTTGATCAATACTGTCCTGTGCCAGTTATTCATTTATCAGAAATGCACTTACCTGAAATGCTTATGCCAGATTTGCTTCGTAGAAGAGAAAATTCTCCTGATACTCCTCAACATATCGAATTCCAGCCGCAACAAAGTAGACCTAATCGTTTCGAATTAGATACTGGACTTGTCAGGGATTATTCTGCGAATCACATAATAGTCGAAAATCTACAAAGAGAACTTCAATTGAAAGTTCAGTCTCAGCAATATCAACGACGTCCCCGTCGTAATGTGAATGAAAAATCGAAAGGTATATTATTAAGTTTATTTATGTATCTCCGGAACAAATAAGATATCCAATAGGAACTGTTAACTAGTGTTATTCACAATACGATATTACCGCGGTATTTTCCGGTATTACCGCGGTATTGTTTTCGGTATCCCCGATACCGATATCGTACTGGTCGATTTTGTTCAAAATCGGTATTTTTTCGGTATCGGTATTTTACCGAAAAATACCGTCAGTACCGGTACAGGATGAAAATACCGCAGTATTTTCAGTATTCGGTATTTCGGAATTTTGCAGCAAAAGATTCCCAAATTTTCGAAATTTTCGTCTGCGGCGCTGAAAAAAGAAAAAATATGGCTTCATGCCCTTCCAAAATTTTCCAAATTTTCGCCAGCGTTAATGAAAAGGAAAGAAATCTGGTTTTTTGGTCCTACAAAATCCTCAAAATTTCCGTTTGAGGCGCTGAAAAGAAAGACTTATGTGTATATCTGAGGGTTTGAATTGAATTAGGTGGTCTGACGATATCCCAATTAATCCCCCGAATTTCCCAGATTTCGCTCTTAATGCATGCAAATTTCGCCATAATCAGCCCCACCCGCTTAATACCTTGATATCCAGCTCCACTCGATATCCCCTTAATCTACACAAATCCCGAAATAATATTATCCATTAATTTTCAACCCGGATCTAGAGTCACATGGATCGTGATTTGGTAAGAGCGTTTTGTAGTTCATATTTTTCTCTGTTCCGTGTTTTGGAATTCCTCGTTTGCCACTCACCTTTTTTTATCAGTATTACATGTAATAAATTTGATCATTTGAGTTTTCAAAAAAATACCGAAAATACCGCGGTATTTTCGGTATCGGTATTTTACAGGTAAAATACCGGTGGTATAGTACCGTTTGATTTTGTGAAAAATCGGTATATCTTACCGAAATACCGATACCGATACCTGAAAAACGCAGTTGAATAACACTACTGTTAACACCCTCGAACTGTTAAAAAACACAAAAAGGTTGGTTTTCAAAAATATCAAGAGATTAATATGGATATCAAGTGATTAAACCGGATTTTGAGCGATAGCTGGGAATTTCGCTGGATTAAGAGGGGAACCGTCGGATTAACGTGATATCCGGAATTTGGGTGATTAAGTGTTATGGTAATGGACCCATGCCCAACACTAAAAGTTACAAAAATTTTTAGAATGTAGTTTGAATGAAGGAACATGCTCAAATTCATTTTTGCTTAGTTTTCACAAAGGCGATAGCGAAAATTCATTGTTATCCATGGAAGGGAACAAATGCTTTCAAAGCTTTGAAAATGGCGATAAGAAATTGCGAAAAAAACGAGATGTTTTTGAAATCAAATGGGTTGAATGTGGCGGTTTTATTTTAATGTTTTGGTTTGTTGGGGTGTTTGTTGCTTGGGTTGTAGGTGCAGTATTCTTCGGTATTCATTTATTCTAAATTGAAATTTGATTTGTATGAATGAGTGGCAAATCACCTTCCGACAGATCAAAATAAAGACCTGACCATGACTCAAAATTTTTACGAGAAATTATTAGAGTTGCGCCCCGACTTTTATCCCGTGAACAGACAAGTTAACGAAACTTTTTTACACTTATACCTAACTTGAACCCAACAAATATTTTGCTCACCAACCCGTATCCCACTCCGAAAGATTTCAAAAACCCCGTACTATGACACTCCCGCTTCCGGGGCGGTCTTTTGGTCGGATGGTATTTTGTCTGAGACATTTGAACGTATGTAAATTTTGTAACATTGAATTTTACCACCTTGTGTTTGTCCTTTTTATACCACCTTGTGTTTGTCCTTTTTCGTGTTATTCAACATTTCGAGCTTACTTGATTTCTCTCTATTACCATGTGGAATTTTTAGATAGAAAAACAGAAAACCTTGCTCTGTACGTTTTTTTGTTGTAAAGCTTCCAAAACATCCACATTAAACCCTGATCCTTTATTCGCTGATTCAATTGCATAGGGATTAGAGTGAAATCGAGAAGTCTTCACCTTAAGGTTGGCGGATCCGAAAATCCAGCTCTGAAAAGAGACCGGATATCCGAAATTGTTGGTTCGCATATCTGATCCGGATATCCGAAGATTTCACAGGATCCGCCAATCTTACTGCTTATACGCAATAGTGGTGTGCCCAAACAGATTTTATAAAGCGAACACAATAGGCAAAATTAAAGAAAGCGAAACGACACGATAAAAAGGGCCCACTACTTTTGTTTACACAAAAATTTTATGTATTATATTATTTTTTAAATTCAAAATGTAAACAACAGGTGATCTGTTATTGTGGATATTTATCAGGAGTGTGCCAAACATATTTTAAAAAGCGTAACTATAAATGCTAATATCAATTTAGAAATTGATGGCGAAAAGCCAAAAAAGGCGAAGCGAGTAAGGCAAAGCTGACACACCCCTGGTATTTATGGTAAAGTTCGACTGTATGATAAATTCATTTTTTATGCCCTCCAATCAGGGATGTTGCTTTTTCAACTGCAGTTTCCGCTTTTTAAAAATATGTTTGCAACCTCCCTGATTTCATGATTTCTAGTATTATTATTCAATTTGTAAGCGATATTTAACTGATATTTTTATTTAAATTTTGCATAAAGTATTTCGGGTTGTGATGTTTTTAAATTTTTTATTATCAAATTAATTTTTTCATAAAAACTTATTAATCTGTATTTGCAATTTTGTACTAGATGCCAGTTTTTAAAGCCCTGTTTATTAGTCTAATGCAGGATTTTTACTCAAGGATAGGACCAAGTGTTTTCTGTAGCAAATTTTGTGGGCATTCTTGTGGCTTAAAAAAATTTGACACTTGTCCAGTTCATGCGTCCCATGAGAATTTGTGTGTCCCATAAAAGTTCATGCGTCCCATAAATAACATTGCGTCTCAAAAATAATTTATGCGTCCCACGGAATTAATTTAAAAAATATCGAAAATTAAAAAATAACATTTACCGTTTTTCCCAATAGAAGCGCATGTGCTTCTATTTTTCAACTTCCTCGTAGACTGCGCTTCTATTGGGACGTGCGCTTCAAATGGGACGTGCGCTTGTATTTTTCAACTCCTATGCGAATTAATTTTTATAACATTATAGAAATTTAAAACAAATATTAAATCTCTATAGAATACAAATATTTTTCATTATCTTCATTAAGATCAATTTCTACCTAACTTTCTGAATTTTTTTATCCTCACAAGCTTGATGTAATAAAGCCTGACCATCTGGTCTAAAACAATGTATTTCATCACTTTCGGAACCGTCACCTGGAATTCAAATTCCACAAACCCAAAAACTTTTTGCAACATTTTCCTTTGAAATCACATCTCAAGCTTCAACTATCCATCCCAAATAAAATTTCATGGTCGTGGACCTAAATAAGCAAGCGTTGTGAGAACAATGATTGCCCTATAATTGCTCTCAAATATTCGATTGTGAGGGCATCATCCATCCAGCTTTTTCCACTCCATCTCCTAGGCAAGATGGAAATAAATTTTTCCCCAATTATATGTAACTCAAAAAACTTTAAATCATTCGTCAAGAGAGGGATCAGGTCGTTTACGTGAAAGTAGTACAAAGGGAAGATTGGAAAAATTTATCGATAGAATAAGATTTGCGTTTTCGAGTATAACACCGGTTACATTACTTGAACATAGCGCCGGTTACATTACCTAAAACTCAATTTCCGAACCAAAATTAGAATCCATTTTTTATAATAAAGTGTAAATTCTTAATCTAAATGTAAATGAATAATACTTGTTTAAAATAGTAACTATATAACAGGGTAATTGCTCAAATAAGTATTTCATAGGGTGCGCTTATAATAGGACGTGCGCTTCTAATGGGACCTGCGCTTCTATTTTTCAACCTCCTCATAGACTGCGCTTCTATTGGGACGTGCGCTTCTATTGGGAAAAATACGGTATACCATATTAGATTAAAAAAATAATCAAAAAGTGTACGGCTCTATAGTTTTCCTATTTGAGTCAAAGAAAAAATATTTCTATTTGCCCATTATGAGCGTGTTTTATCTTTGTGCCGTGAGTATCTAAAAATTAAAAGTATTTTGTTAATTTAATGAGTTTGCACCATCAAAACAAATGTTTTGCAAATCTGGTCTGTTCCCGTTTTCTCCTACACAAAACGGCGATCACATCTTCCATGTGCAATGTATGAAAAATTTACTCGCAATGTTTTCAACTTTGTACATCTTATGGCTCTTTTCCAGTTTATGCGTCCCATGGCGATTTATGCGTCCTATAAAAATTTATGCTTCCAAAAAATTTATGCACCCCTTCCAAAAAATTTATGCATCCCTCTGTCAATATAAATGTTACCGTTTATAAAATAAATAAAATAATGAAAATAAATCTATTTATTTGATATTTATCATGTTAACAATTAAAGAACTTGTTCTTCATTGAAATTACCTAAGGTTATATTTTACATAATGTTATATATATTTTACAAATTAAAGATGTCCATTTAAATATTAATTATTTGATTCCTGTTCATCTTGATTTTTATTTGTTTTCTTCTTAATTCTTAGTTGTTTTATGTAACAGGTATGGCATATATATTGTTCGGGTTTTGAATGACGGTACCATTTTGATGTTTTTGTTGCTCCGCAAGTAAAACATTTCCGGTCCTTCGTGAAACGAAAAAATATTTATATAAATAGAAGTCGGAACTAGTTCTCAGATAAAAAAATTTTTAAGTATATTCTAATTTTCGACGACTGATTCTACCAGGGTTGCTTCAGTTAAACTTATTTCTTTTTGTCTATGTTTCCATTTCACTTAAGCGGCATAATGAAGTTCTTATATTTATCTAGGAACCTATTTAAATACATACATATAAGTATGATCTCTAATAATGTCATATAGATATGCTCGAATCATTTACAACTGCTCATATATTTTTAAATCATTGTTAATTATAATATGAATAATTAAACCATTTTAGCTTGAATCAACCTTCCTTCAGGTCTCATTTTGCCATTATATATTTTAAAATCGTGACATGGTTGACACAAATATTGTTCTTTTATGTATATATACCAATGTTTTGTTTGTGTAACTCTACAATTGAAACATTTTTGTTTATTTACTTCAAATATTCCAGCTATAATTATTAAGCAAAATTTTTCAGTCAAATGAAAAGATAGACAAGGTAAAAAATTTATTTACTTATTTTATTGCCAATATAAATAATATTTTCTTTTAATTCTTTCGGATATTCAACTTTTTGTTTTCCTAACAATTCAATTTTATACCCAATTAAATTAATTTTCGTCCAATAACTTGATATAAGTTTGTTTTTGTAGTTTTTTTATATTTTCTTCAATTAAGTTAAAATTATTTTCACATTTGTACAATATCGAAGATTCAAAATTATTATTATTTTCAATAAAATTATTATTTCGGAGAACCTATAATTTATATCAAATTAGATTAGTTATAGCAAGTGATTTTCATTTCCTTGCTGTTTGTTACTTTTTTACTACAGGGTGCGGCAAATTTAGCGCCGACTTTGTTTTGGTTATAACTTTTTTAATTTTAAACGAAAATTAATCATTCTTTTTTTCCTGGATTCACAACACTTTAGGAAACTTGTTGATATAAAAATCTTTTCTAAATTTTATAATTAAGTTTGATTAATTTTCTATCAAATTTAGAGCAAAAATTTTTGGATAAAATTTGGCCTAGATTCAAGGCTATTGATTTGATGTGAGAATTTTACATATCATTCGAATCAGCTCTCCAATCTGATTCGAATGACGTCAAAATCATTTGTCTATCACATAAATGGACCGAGATATGACTCTCTGATTGAAAAATTAAAATAAATTTTGCAAATTTAAACTTTTTATGTAAAATTTTCAAAAATGATTTTATTAGCTATTTCGATGCTCCTTATCGAGTGGAGTTGATTGGTACCAAAATAACTCGGATTGGATTATTTTGAACAAAGTTATGATCAACTAAACTTTGGCATGAAAAATATTTTTAGATTTTTAGGCTGTTCGGACTCGTTTTTCTTTCCTCTCAGTGGACCAAATTTTCAATTCTTGATATCAACAAGTTTCCTAAAGTGTTGGGAATCCAGGAAAAAAAGAATTATTAATTTTCGTTTAAAATTAAAAAAGTTATAGCCAAAACAAAGTCGGCGCTAAATTTGCCGCACCCTGTAGTTAGTTGTGTTAGTTTTTACATTTTGGAATGAAAATTATATTAATAAACATATACCATTTTTTCAAACCCTGGCAGAAAATTTTGAATTGTTTCATTATTAGTAATTTCAATCAAAATTTTCTTTTTTAATTGATCAGATGTAATATATTTTGATCTATCAAATATTTGAACTTCAAACATATTTTTATCTAGATTTAATTCAATTGTTCGCAAATATCCTTCTATATTTTTAT